GTGCACTTCTCTCTAAGTGCCTCCCCCTTGTCCTTGATTCCTGGCACTGCATACACCACGAAGTGGTGCTGTGGAGCTCTGCGTGTCCAGTCCTCCAGCCGTCTTTCCAGTGCCGCTGCTCCTTCTTCCACTGATTACTCTCCTTGTAGGTCCGTCACCCCTGCATGCACGATCAACAACCCATTCTCGGCTAGCCATATTTTCTGGTCGTTCTCTGCCCTCGCCAGTGTATCTCCCAATTTCGCATCTGTTTTGGTCGCAAAACTAACTCTGTTGCCAGAATCAACTGCTTTGGGCGTACCTCTTTTCATCCTGAAGGCATTTGTTTCTCTATACCAGAATCCGTCTGTCCACCATTCTGCCTTCTTCTGGTCGTCTGTTTGTTATTTGAGCTTCTGCCTTGTTGCCTCCCGCAAGTCGCTCTTTCATTCCTTCCCTGGTCACTCTGCGCGTGCCCTTCCTTTGTCTGTCCCTTTTGCAATGTTGCTAGTGCGCTGTCTCCCTCTGGCTTGCGTATTTCATCTGGATATGAATAAAGCCCTTCTTTTTCTGCGCTGTCCGTGTATTTTGTCTCCTGCCTGTTGTCTACGTCCGCTACCTCCATTCGAGTCCCGGTGCCCTCCGGCTCCCTTTCCTGTTGGCTGTATATCCAGTGTCCTATCTTCCCCTAATTTTCCCCTCTTGCCCACTTCATGCAACACAGCCTGCAGTTTCTCCTCTACTGCTCTTCGCTGTGTCCTCTCTTCTGCGAGCTCCGCCACCAGCCTATATTACATGGCCACCCTCTCCGCCAGTTTCTTCTCTATCTCCCTCCTCATCTCATGCATCACGTCGTTGGACTTCCTCTTCCAGCAGACGTCTTCCCGTTTCCTTCTCCAAGCACTCCGGGCATCTGTACGTACTTCCCTTCACCTCCTCGCAGGTTTCAAACGGAGTCTCCCCGATATCCACCCGGTTCCCACACCCTTCACATTCTACTCAACACTTGTCCCGTTTGTCTTCGTCTTGTCCCCTTGTCCAGTTTTCTTCGATTTTTCGCGAGCGGACATGTCTTTTTACGATGGCGCTACCGATGCTATCGCTAGCACTGTCACCGACGTCTTCAAAGTGCAGTGCCCTACACTTCGCAAACCACGTCACTCCACACTGTCCTGGTCGCCAGTGTTGTACTTGTTTTGTTTTTGGTAAAACTGCTCCGGTGGCGGCAGTGAGAAAGGCTTACGCTTGGTTGCGCCTTGTTTTTGTTTGTCCAAAGATCGTTTTCCGCCTTTGCTCTGCTCAAGTAAGAATCCTTTTCTCCTCGCCCGGCACGTCTTTTTCTGAGAGTGCAGGCAGCAATCCTTTGTTGTTGATCCTTGCAGTTAAAACGTGTTCACCACTTAGTACCTCGCATTATTTCTTCCAGTTCTGTCGGTGTCGCGATAACAAGATCGGCAAAACTAGCAAAGCTGAAGGGTCGGTGACAACAGCTGAGCTGTGCTCGGCAATTGTCAGTGACCAGGGCCTCCTTATTAGCTTCTAGGCCTGTCAATCCCCAGCGCCTTCACGACCACCGGTGCTTGTCCGCACAACTGTTTCTGAAGCGCCATCCTGTGGCTGTTGGGGCTACAAAACTATTTTGCGCACGATACAACCCGCGCACGCTCGTGTAAACGTTCGGCTCTCGCTCATCTGAGCCTGGTGTATCTAGCGGTGTCTCTGCATTTCTGAACTCACCGGCGTTCTACGTCCCGAAGACATCAAAACGCCGGCAATATTACCAGGAGTGTAACAGGACGCTACGACAGAATTCCGAATGCTAAACCTTTAGCTGTTATTTTTGTCCAGAATAATTGTGTCTTAATTTTTCGCGCTGACTGTACAATATTAACCACAATTTAATGTTTTATTTTATGTTGTGATATATTTTTAGCACGTACATTCATTGTAAACATCTCGCATATTGATTATCGCGATGTTAGCATAGTTGCTCTATTTATTCGTTACATAATAATGTTGGTGGGCTATCAAATGTAAATCTGTGAAGGTCGTTACCTTTCTTACTACTATTACCAGAGTGTTTTTAAGCCGAATTCAATGAGAAAACCATCAGGTTATTCTCTTCGATACGTTGCAGCGTTTCACGTGTATGAACCCTATGACCTTATAAGTAATCATCCCATAGGGATGTCATATGGCACGGTGTCTCGTGATAACCAGACGCCACGTGACTTTGCGACGACGGGTGACATTGTGACGTTACGTGACTTCGTAACGTCACGTGACACCGTGGTGTACCGTGACTTATAAATTGACCAGCAGTGACCTTCAGTCTGTTTGTCAAATTAAAATGGTTAGCGTGCCGAATGTGAAAAATAAAAATGCATCGATTTATGAGGTTAACATTTTGAAATGAAAGTGTTTATCACACCATGAAATACAATCTAACCAACTTGAGCGAGTCAGGTGGCTTCAAGGGACAAACATAGACCAACTCCTTACCAAAGTAGACCCTATCATTTCAACTGTTTAGTTTCAATAAACAGGCATCGTCAACAACACAGTGAACCAAGCCACGCGAGATGTGATTTTGATTGCTGCATATTTGAAACATGCTGCGCTTTTTTCACACTAACAAAGTCATATACCGTCTTACATTATTTTCAAATAAACAGCTTGCTTGTATAAACAGCTTGCCTGTAGGGGCAAAAACGAGCAACCTTATGTTTTTCTGGCTCTTGTCATTGCAGGCCCACATTTTTGCCGGCATTTGTGTAAATCTTATTCTAGTAAAAAAAACGCCTGCATCGCTGTGAAGCATTTTAGCAGGAAGAGGAATTTATAAACGATTCCTAAAACATTACTGGAAGATATACATGAAAATCTATCAACACATAACTATTATATTTAAAAAAACTAGTGTACAAAGAAGTATTTACAAAAACTTTCGGCTGCTCCCCCTATTCACCACAGACGTAACAAACGAGGTCTGCAGGTTTAGTATTGTCTTGGGTAGGGACTGGAACCTTATCGGTTCCAGTCGTTATTGCCGCAAAAGAAGATACCAAGTGAAATTAGAGCATACACCGGAGAAGACGAATTAACATTTATGTTGGTGCCTCAAGCTCTATAATGCTCTGACTGACTCGACGTTGCTTCCTACATGCTGGAGCATGGTTTTCTCCAGATAGCGGCATCACGAGCACCACCACAGAAAAACCACAGGCACTATTTGACCGGCCTCCTCCTATGGCGCGTGCTCTCAATTGACAGGCGTTTCGAAGCTTATATAGGAGGCTCTGCATTAACCCTTCAGTTGTCGAGACAACTGCAATGCGCTTAAGCTGACTTGGTGCAATCCATCTCATCACACATCGGGGAAGTTGAGGCCGCTGTCACTGTACTGCGAGAGTGGGGCTATGTCAGAGGCCTAGAAAGAGGACTTTGCGAAAAGGTTCACTTGATTATCGAAATGCGACGAGTAACACCTCACTAGAAACATCGCAATAACGTCCCTGCGACATCCGTGAATGACTACCTCAAACTCGCTGCTTTTTGTTTTTTCCTTCATAGACCCATTTATTAGCTCAAATATCGATTCAAGAATCAGAGTAGAGCCCTTGAATTATCAAACCTATTCCCCAGAAATGTCGCCAAAAAGGAGAAAGAGCCCTAACTAGACAAAATCGGGAACCTCCTTGGGGACTTTATTTCCTGAAATGAGCTGTTCGATAAAGTTCTTTCTTAGTCTCGGAAGTGGAAGAACCGCGATGCTGAGCACGTTTCTGCTGTGCAGGCGATTTCTCTTTGCCCGAATGTCTTTTACGTCTACAAACTATTTCAAATTCTGGCCACCCTGCCTGTTAGCACCGCCGAACCGGAGCGCTAGTTTTCAACTTTGCGAAGGCTGAAGACTCACATAAAAGCGTCCTCGGCCCAAGATCGCCTTTTAGAACTTGCGCTTCTGACGTTCACCAAAACATGTCTGTCAGACAAGAGAACGTTCTATCGCATCTTTGCATCGATCGGCGACGGGTTTCATTGCATGTGTAGAAACATGGACCTAATCTGGTGTCCAAAAGTAAGCGTAAGGACGCACAATACTCACGGCTTTTTTTTTTTCCTTGTTTCCTTGTGCTCTTGTGAAATTGACACGTCAGTAGTTATATTTCTGACCTCTGCTATAGTGTTAATATTAGATCCAGTTTCGTATTTATCCTCAGTGTTACTTCATAAATTTATCAAGTTTGTTATAAAATGTATTCGAAGTGTTCAGAAGAATAAACCATATTGTTGAACCAATGAAATGAACCGAAAAACATGGGCCGGTACTTTGATCAGAACAACCCCTCATCACCTTTGCCCCCCCCCCCCCCCCCCCAACATGGTAACACTTCCGACGGCACTGTCAGGCCTTCTGACCAGATATTCGTTGTGTTAACCACTGCACATCAAAGGGGAACTGGAGGCACAGGCACGGCACCAAGGTTTGTGGACTCCCTCTGGACAAAACCTTGTGACTCATCTGCCCAAACGGCACTGCTAGGCACAATAAAATTACATCATAAATTATAAAAAAGAAAAAAATCGGCCGATCAGAAGGAATAATTTTGATAGCCTTGGACATGGCAGCCAGGTGTTTGTTTTAGATGAATGCTTTGTTGGCACGTTAAGCACTCGATGCTGCGGATAAGGTACAAATGATGCCGGTTGTTCCTTTCGCTCGCCCATGCTTCTTGTTTATGAGACGTCTTGAATAACATTCGATGAGGAGATGAATCTGAGCGCCATTACAACAAATAGTAAAAACAGGCATGTGCATATGGTCAGAATCATTGAGTTACCGTTTTCCTTTTTTTCCCGATTTTACAGGTATTTTGCTTCTTTTGTTATTGTTTATTTTTCTCTTACAGAAGTTACTTATTTTCAATGAACATATGAAGTATCCCATAAACACGAGAATGTTATTTAAAAAAGTGTATTAAACGTGTATTTATTGGCAATGCGGGTTCCGCAAACCCTCAAGAGTTCATAAATGTCAAAAGCTTGTTCATGTTTGACTCGTTGAAGTGGCTCACTTTACGAACAAGGCTATGAGGGGGGAAAACACCAGGCTTGGACTGAGTGTGCCAAACGAAAATCTGAAAAAGAGGACGGGCGAAATCAGATGCCTCTTACTTCGGCTTCAGGATTACCATACTATACCTTACATTCGCGTTGGAGAAACATTATTTAAATACGCTTGGAGCTCTTCACTTTAACTACACCCTCTATTTGTGTTTCCCTCTGCGTGATAGCAAAACACGTTTTGTATGGTAAAATATTAATAATAATAATAATGGTTTATTTTCCAGTGCCCACAAACAGCCTAGCGGTCTACTGTGTGGTGCACAAACATGGGCGAATTATTATACATATAAGACAAAATACAAATTACCAAAAAAGAACTACGAACAAACACAAGCAAAAGAAAATAGTGGTAGGCTTCATTCGGTTTGCTTAAGGCAATGGCATCCATTCGCGTAATTGTTGCATAAAATCCTGACGTACACTAAAAATATCGAAGTTATTCTGATGTGCATTATTAAAATCAATCTGAACCCTCAAAAATGCTCTAGAGAAAATGATCCTCTCCTCAGTACCTTAGTCTTTGAGGGAACCTTTTGGTGTCTTGAAGGTACAGCAAACGCACCACAAAATGTCGATTGTGTTAAATGTCATGGTGAACTCCACCAACTCGTCCACACTCGCGCTATTTTTTCGTAAAACCTCAAACTTAAAATGAGTATGTTCCTATTTTTAAATCGAACGACGATAACTGTTCTGTAAATCGAAATCCCCAAGAGGAGCAAGTGCGGGAACAAACTGTCTCTAAATTTAAGGAACACGCTTTCATATTTAGACGATCGATTCTGCACATCGAATCACTGTTCCACGTCTTTCAGCACCACCCTTCATTTTTTCCCTTTATCCTTTATTTTTTATTCTGTTAAGTATTCAGCCTCTTTTAATATATATTTATTTTGTTCGTGTCAATATCAAATAAAAAGAACATCAACTCAAAATGTAAGCATTTAAATACCATTGTTGAGCATTATATTTTAAAGCAATAACTAAAGACCATTTGCCAAGCAAGAGCTATCCCTTTGCTTGTATACAAGTGCATTTTATTACGCATGAGTAATCTTGCACATGTTCGACTTTTCTGAAAATTATTTTTTTTTCTGTTTTAGATTGCAGTGCGAATTATTTGTGAAGACAGACGTGACACGGAGGTCCCTGTAAAGGGCACGGGTAGTCATTATCTGGAGAGCACTAAGAAACTGGGCAAAGTATATTTATTCTGTGTTTCTTGTATGTTTTATGTAAACAGCGCGCAACTTTCCAGTCGTTATAAAATCTGGCTAGACATTCCTTCCAGACATTCCACATATAGATATGTGGATATCTATATATAGAAAGAGAAAGAAAGACCGATAGATAAAGGGATATTACTTATTATTTTTAATTTTGGAGGTGTTTTCTGCGTTGCGCACTAACATAACCTTTTTTTTAGTATTGAACGAATCACAGTGTAAAATTACCAGGAATTGACCCTTTCCCTATTTTTGTTTCCACGTTAAGGTCATGTTAAAAAAGTGAAAGCTGTTTACAACTCCCTGTAACGCCGAATTAGAGCGCAATTCTTGAGGAGGAGGAGGGAAGGGTACTGGGGGGGGGGGTCAAGTGACCTTGGGGGGGGGGGGGTCACGTGACGATGACGATGCCGATGACGTCATCAGTAACGATGACGATGCGGATACCGATGACGTCATCAGTGACGTCACTGATGACGTCATCAGCGATGACGATGCGGATGCCGGTGACGTCATCAGTGAGGATGACGATGACGATGTGGATGCCGGTGACGTCATCAGTGACGTCACTGATGACGTCATTTCGGGAGGTCACGTGACTTGGGAAGTCACGTGACCTCTCCCCAGGGTCACGTGACCTTGGAGGTCACGTGACCCTGGGGAGAGGTCACGTGACCTCTGGGGGTCACGTGACCTTGGGGGTCACGTGGCCTTGGGGTGACCTTGGTTACGCCGACGCGCCGGGAACGGGCACCTAAGAGCTGCGCTCTAAAAGTAGGAATCGTCATTTTGGGGCGTAAAGGGTGAATGGATTAATAAATGAAGTAATAAAAAAAAAAGAGGGAACGCGGTGAGTTTTTATTATCGATTGTTGAATGAATGCAACAAGTATACAGCATAGTGCGTGCCATTTGCAACTTTCATGAGTGAGTGCACATACATCATGATTAATTATATTAACATATATAACTCAATATTTCATAAGTTTAAAAACCTCATCTTTCAATTTCAAGATCACACAGAGAGAGAAACGTTAGAAACTTCAACGAGAGCGTGAAATTTTCAGAGTTCAATTTTTCTCCGACTCCTTGGCAATGGTATGTACCGACGGGTGTCGCCATCTACCAAGTGCAGGGAAAACCAGGAAAATCGCGCGAACCGCGCCTCACTACGAAGTGTCTACGAGTTTCCACTCAACGGCCACCTCAAGCCGGTGATGGACCTAGCCGAGCAAGGCTGTAACCGATCACGTAACCTTGTATCTATCATTGTACCGCGATAAACGGTCATTGTTCAATTAAGGACTTGACAGGTACCACCAACATGCTGCGCCTCGTTAATGCTGCTCATTATACCATGTTGTATCCGGTAAAAGTGAATTTCGACATTGTACCGCTTACTTGTAATGTAATTTTTTATTAATGTTTAAAATTCTCGCTCATCTAATGCATTCGAAAGGATGTCCTCGAGTTTAAAAAAGTGAAATGAAATGAAATTACCTTTGTGGCGTTTTCACACAGCGGCTCCAAGTCTTTTATCGTAATATTGAGGCTCTCGAGAAAGGCCGTTTCCAAATGGCCGGCCTGGTAGGGCATCTTAAGTTTATCGTTGCCCATCACCAACCGAAGGTTGACCGCAAAGCCGGCCATGTCTACTGGAAACTTCCGCCACGGCTTTCTCATGGGGTCGTAGAACTCCACCACTCGACCGCCGACGACGACGGGACTGCTCACGCCGGTCTTCTGAATAGCTCCGACTGGAAACACACTGACGGCCCGTGTCCATCGAATCTGCACTGACCACGTACAATGTAAGCACGTTCAAGGTGCACAACTTTTGCGCATTTTCTACGAAGTCACTTGTTCATAACATTCCCTGCCAACTTTTATGACATCGAAAAGACAACTTGATTGTTTTCTAATCGATATTTTGGTCGTCTTAGCCAGTCATTGAGCATTTCGTTCGCTTTGTCCACAGGCCTTTCGTGGGTCCCAATGAGCGACCTCCCATGACCTTGCTAATGTGGCGTCGATTGCACATGAACTTCCCTGGCGTAAAATTGTGACAGTGCACCACCAGAGCCTCCGTTGCAGCATAGGAGCTGGTAGGACGCACCACGGGCAGGTTTTTTTCTTGTCAGCTAATCCATGGCCGCTATCTATCGGCCAGCTTTGACCCACTTCCGGCCTGCACATATTTTCTATATATTCACTTATTTATGCATATGTTTTGATTTTGTTTTTACCAACACGTGATTTTGAAGATTGCCCTGAGATTATTTATGACGCAAACCAATCAAACCCAGCAGTAGACAGGTTGATGGTCAGAGGCGTTCAGCGGCTATTTACACTCTCTGAATGAACTTACACTAGAACGAGCGAATGGTCTGTTCCCGCAATTGAAGCCCACTAACAACAGACTTGGAAAGTAATCCGTTACTTTTTCAAGTAATTTTGTAATTGGCAGGTTACTTTTTTTCGGAAGTGATTTGTAATGCATCGTTACAAAATGTTGGTAATGGATTACTTCAATTACTCGTTACTTTAAAAAAACACATGAGCATAATACAGTAACTGGAGCAATACGAGCAGAACATTCAGCGGCATAGAGAGAGCAAGTTCAACAAAATAGAAAATATCAGGAAGGGGAGAATAGCCGCAAAGAAAACACGATTTTTTGTATGACCGGTCACCAGAACCACTAGAAAAACGGGCAAGGCATGTACAAACATACGAAAAACAAAGATCAGGTAAGACAACGCCGAGTATGCTCTCCGTCGCCTTCCATCGTGTTTCTTCTTCTTCTCCCGGGCAGGAGAAAGTTCTTTGTGTTTATTTGTTTTTTTTTTTTTTTTTTGTCTTTCACACCGCTTCACCCTTTCCAACTTCTTAGACGTCTCCCGCCACCTGCACAGACATCAAACGCGGTTCCGCAGCCCGGCTTCGATTCGCGGGTTCACAACTCGCCTGACAGAGGGTGTCGAATTCTCTTCGTCTTTAATGTGCGCTGCTGTATTCTAGCACGATGAACGGAGTGTACCTACATTTTTTCTCTTAAATGCAATATTTTATTTTTAGAAGGACTACCATAATACGGGCGTTTGAGAAATGAAAAGTAGTTTTCCAGAACATTTTTGAAAAAATATCGAAATAGTTTTTTTTGTTTTCTGGATAAGTGTACAAAAAAAGTAACGTGAAAGTAATTTGTAACGTAAGAAGTTAAGTAATCCGTTACTTTTCAGCGAAAGTAATTTGTAACGGTGATCCATTACATTTGAGGCTCGGTAATTTGTAATTGTAATCCATTACATTTTGTAATGGATTACAATACCATGCTAGGCCACAATAAAAAAGAAAAAAAAGCTATTAGTTTTGCCTTTTCGTTTTTTCCCCTTTGCATGTGGCAAGTCGGTAAAATAATTACCACAGTAGACAGTAAATTTCTTCTAACTAAAAGCAAAACATAAAAGGGAGGAAGTTTTTTTTTTTTTTTTTTTTTTTATTTCCCTGACGATATGAAGGTCTTTAAGGCCGCATTGCTCCACAAGAATGTACTTTGTTAAACGTGTAACGCCATAAAAAAAATTGAATTTTTTTTTAATGAACGCTAGTTATCGCGCATCTGATTTTCTCCAGGCAAGACAATTTTTGTGGACGTTATGGAACAAGATCTTATAGTCACGAGAAAAAATACTTAAACGAGAAAAACATAAATCTGGAAAATCTCACGTTTGATAATGAAACGTAACCACATTTGCGAGCGTGTTGTAATAAATATAAACTGGGACGTGTTTCTCCGGTGCGTCGGTGCAGACAACGTTGGAGTGCGATAGCATTCCGACGTTTCTTTTAAGAAATCGAGGCCACATTCCGCCGATTAAATTCATTGAAGTTTGGATGGATAGGTAGAGCCCTCTTGCGCGGAATTCTCGAAGCTGTTAGACGACCCGCAACCGCAATCATAGGACCCGATCCCGAGTTCTAACATCCGAGTGCCCTGCCGAACCCTGACATGACTCTCGCGCCCAAACGCTCGGTGGCACTTTATGCCAAAGGAGCCCATTTTGACCCCAAGCCGTGCAGTACTCAATAGCAGCCGACCGACCTCCTGTTCATTGCCCTGGGATTATTGCGGGTAACAAAGCACTGCACCCCTTTTAAAAGTCACGTGCCGCTTGTCAGATGGTCTGAACCAGAGCCACTCAATAAGCAACCCTTTAAACTTCGGCAGCCCATTCACAAATCATCTGGCGGGAGCCGTCATTTTGGTGATTAGTGTAGAGCGGGCGCAGTTGGCGATAATTGCGATTAGAATATGCGACTTCCTCAACTCTTTTGCATGCTATCGCGTTTCCCTTTAAATGGCATCGTGATTAAAATAGTGTAAACCGAATCTTCCCAATTTGTAATGATTCAAGGACCAGTGGGAAGGTGAAGTGGCCGGTGTCGTTTCCGTAGTAACCAACGCTCGCACGTCTACTAGGGCTTGGCGTCGATTAAAAGTTTAGCCCTAATAATCATGGTTACATTTATTAGCACGCATAACCACTTTTAAAAAGTCAAAATTATATGTGTATATATATTTTTTTGCCTTTGATGATTATGTGATAAACGTCGCAATGTACAATTTCAGATTTTAAATCAATCTTAATGTGTAGACGATAGCAGTCAATAGACACCCACACTCACAAACTATTACTTCAGAAGCATTACGCAAAGAGGTTCGCTGATATTTTCCGACAATGCGAACTCTCCTTTGATTCTTCACAATAGACTCTGCTGGGCTAAACGGAAACTCGCGCGGTGTTGAATTGACTGGAGCAGCTATAACCTTCTTTACTTGTTTAAGTTACAAATCTCGCCCCTACAGTTTACTTTAGGTGAAAATTGCACCTTAAGTGTGCCTTCACACGGACGCACTCTTCCACGTCCGCGTGATGGAAGTGTGAAATTGGCTCTTTTTTGTTTGTCAAAATTTAACCGATTATCCGGTTAAGAAAATTAATCGTTATTAAAGCGTTATTCGATTAATCGGTAAGCTACTCGGTCCAGTTCCCACCCCTAACGTCTACGTATACGACCCACCCACCTCGTCGAAGAGCCTGTAGTCGTACGAGTTGTCATCGTCGGCGAAATAGAGCACTCCGGGAAGAGCAGCGTACTTCCTGAGCCAGTCGAGCCCCCGGAGTCGACCGCTCACGCCGCGGCCGTGACCTGGTGTTCTCCGATATTTGGGGCACGGACCGAGCAGGTGCACGAACGGAACACCCGACTCCTTCACGATTCGGGAAACCTGGACGCGTATCCATACGCTGTGCTACGTTGTGGGCTTTCGGCGAAAGGGCTGTCTACTCAAGCCACAACTCCCACTGACTTTTAGCTGATACGATTTCGTACCTCATACGAGCCCATGCAAAGCGCCCCTCCTACCCTCTCCCCCCCTCCCCCTCCTATTCCGCTTTGATGCTAAGCGGCTTCGCATACGTTCCGGCAGGGCGCGAAATATCGTGATCGCTCAAAGTCGGAGAATGTCTTGCTCTGTATGGCCATCCCTTTACGCAAGTATGTATTAGACATTTCAAAATTTCGTCGGTGTTCTGCTTGTAGAAAACATAGCAGCACGAACCGAACTGACCTGTGGCTCAAAGAGGGCTTACTGTCCACCAGTACTACTGGTAAACCAAAATCCGCGCGGGCCATATTTTTTTTCTTGGTAGTTACTAAGGGGAACGCCATTCGATAAATATTAAACTCCATGATAAAAAAGGCACAAACGACAAGTCCCGCCCTATGCTACAGGGCGGGACCGAGCGGAACCAAGGGACAACGTAGACGGCTGCGATTGATCAGAGCCGCCCCGCTGACCAATTGCAGCAGACGGCGCTGTTCCGGTCTCTTGGCCCCGCTTGGTCCCGCCGTGTAGCAGAGGGCCCCAAGAGATAAACGCACAGAATAGACAAGCGCAGTGTTTCTCTTCTGTTGTACTGTCCTTCGTGCGCTGTTTCTTTTTTTTTTTATATGTAGTTTTAATATTAACTGGTTAAACTCACCACGAAACTCCTACAATAAATTCCGTTCGAAGTTTTCACGACATTTTACCAACGTAAGCTTTAATTTAAAATTTCATGGCGTGTAAAAAATACACTTTTTCGAATGCGGAGTCACCGCGCATTACATTAAGCAATTCATGCAGAACGGGAACCTTTTAAAGACTCAAAATTTACTGACTTCAGTTGCCCCGAAGAGGCGAACGGCACGGCGAACACAAATGGGAAAGCAAGGCACATATACCCAATGCGGCTTCATAGCAATAAAACTCGTCACACTTTTTAATTTTTTTTACGACTTTGCAGGAAATTTTATTTTGCATATAATTTATATTTTCGTACTTATAAGCCAACGCTACGTTCACAAATATGCCCGCATTCGCCCACACCATACATGGGTGCAGCAAAAAAAAATAATAATAAAACAGATTCGCATTGAGTTATTCGTCTGTTCATGTACCGCGTCGACAAGAGCGCCACCGCAGAGCCCTGACCTCAGAGCTGCGCGTTGGTCTCTAACGTACCACTTGTGTTTTCTTTTCCGAGTCTTCTACGACGATCCAGAAAACGGCCGTTGTCAGCATCAGACTCTGGGCGACTCGTATGAGGTCCGGTGCCTGCGTCGCCCTCTTGAACGTAGGCGTCATCACGTACACAACGGGAACGGCAGTTTGCGCAGTGGCGACTCCTTGGAGCGGGGTGGCGTGCTTCAAATACAACTTGGGTATCATTACGGTCACTTCGAATAAAAGAGAGAAAAAAAAATCGATTACCACTTGTTTCATAAATTGCGAAGTCACTGTGTTACTACAGGCCCTTTCACACACTTGCCTTTGCTTAGGACACCCTATAGATAGCGATGTGCGCGACCAAAAGCGCCGCTGCGGTCAGCTTTCCACAATTGGCCAAATCATGGGCATATGAGCATTGTCAGATTGTCAACTTTGACGGTGTAAGTTTAGGATTGCGATGACTCCTAGCTTCTACCGTGCTTTTTAAACACACCACCGAACTCGTCGTCGCACCTGATGGTAAGTAGCCAGGATAACAACTGGTGACGTCACGGCGAGGCAAATGTCAGTCGTGTTGTCACGGATGGAAACCATAAGAGGGCGCCACCGAAACGACTCGGCGCTAATTGCGTTTGAGAGTGTTTGAGTGCATTGCGTCGAGGAACGAAAGCGAGTCACCGGCACATCTGTGCTTCGCATGAAGCGCGCAATCCAATTCAAGGAATCATCTTGGCACGCGGCATAAAAATCGGGGATGTCCCTGTTTCTCGCAGCCGCAACGCAATCAAACGCAACTGTACGTACAGTCCTTTACGACGATAGAACCACTAGAGGGCCTATATTACAAAACGTTTTCAACTGTTCGGTTGTTTTTTTTTGTCTTTTTGTTTTTTAATAGGGCGGCGTTTGCAATACACGCTTCGAAGAGGTGACCAAAGCGCTGATCAAGCGCACTCGCGACCAATCTCCGCGGGAGGCGTCTGCCACTAAATTGCAAACGCTTCCCACGCTTTGAGATGGATCTTCTCTGCAATGTTGGCTCTCTAGAAAACACTCTGGTACGTTGGCGCCATCTATCGGGTGACCATGCAACTGCACTTCGTTAGGGGCGCAGAATTTCCGGTATTCGCGAGATCAAATGTACGTACAATATGAGAAATGGTCGTAACATTATTCGAGAGTTTTCCGAAACAAGAAAGAATGAATGATGCTAGAAAAATTATGAAATACAAAGAAGCGTACCTAGTGTTCGACGTGTACCTAATAGATGGCATTAGCGTGTTCTCTCGTCTAGAGTTCCTATACAGTGGTTCCTGCAGGGTTCGCACAGACCCTTGAAATCCTTGAATGTCCTTGAATTTGATAACATTAATTCAAGGGCCCTTGAAACTCCTGAGATATAGGTGAGCTCCTTGTAACCCTTGAAAATTTAGTGGACTTTGCTTCAATATAGCAAATGAACGACGTATTTCCGTAAGTCGCACTGATTTCAAAAACGCGTTTACTGAGGAATGTTCGCGAAAACATGTAGTCTTGACAGGAGAGCAATAGCAGCAAGTTTCGGTTTCGACTTAAAACTTGTGTTTGGGCGAGTTGGTTCATACTGATTTAAAAGGTTAAAAAGCGCAACACAACAAGGACAATGAAGACACGAAGACGACAGGACGGGCGCTAACTCACAACTGATTTTATTAAAAACAACACTGTCACTTTTATACACAAGATCGTATGCCAAACCCACACTGCAACCAATCACCACTCTCACAAGCAGCTATCTAGAAACATTACTTCTTTCTGAAGCAAAAAGAGAGAAGGCGTGCTAACGCATTTGTCATCTTTCTTTTTGATATAAAACGCCTCTATAATCTCTCTCTCAGTCTTATCTTTTGATTTCTTTAAAAACTTTGTTTCAGCCAAAAGAGGCTTACAGTCAGCACATCGCCTGCAGTGGTCTGCCAGGTGTCCCCCCGCGTTGTTCTGCACAGAAAGATTATGCTCGCGTGCCCTATCGTTAAAGCAGCGCCCGGTTTGTCCAATATAAACTTTTCCACATCTTAATGGAATTTCATAGACAACATTGGTCACACATTCAGTGTACTGTACAGCATGCTTTTTTGAACAAAGTGCTTTTTTCTGCCGTGTAAGCATCGAACAGATTTTCGAGAGCTTGCAAGTGATTCCTTATTGGCATGTGATTCCTTATTGGCATAAAGTGTCTCACAACATTAAAAAGATAGCTAGTAGATACGATGTAAATGTTGTTTTTTCAGCCCCTTGCAAGCTCTCGAAAATCTGTTCGATGCTTACACGGCAGAAAAAAGCACTTTTTTCAAAAAAGCATGCTGTACAGTACACTGAATGTGTGACCAATGTTGTCTATGAAATTCCATTAAGATGTGGAAAAGTTTATATTGGACAAACCGGCCGCTGTTTTAACGATAGGGCACGCGAGCATAATCTTTCTGTGCAGAACAACGCGGGGGGACACCTGGCAGACCACTGCAGGCGATGTGCTGACTGTAAGCCTCTTTTGGCTGAAACAAAGTTTTTAAAGAAATCAAAAGATAAGACTGAGAGAGAGATTATAGAGGCGTTTTATATCAAAAAGAAAGATGACAAATGCGTTAGCACGCCTTCTCTCTTTTTGCTTCAGAAAGAACTAATGTTTCTAGATAGCTGCTTGTGAGAGTGGTGATTGGTTGCATTGTGGGTTTGGCATACGATCTTGTGTATAAAAGTGACAGTGTTGTTTCTAATAAAATCAGTTGTGAGTTAGCGCCCGTCCTGTCGTCTTCGTGTCTTCATTGTCCTTGTTGTGTTGCGCTTTTTAACCTTTTAAATTCGGTTTCGAAACCGGCAGCGCCTGCGTCGTCTGGCAACAAATGCGAGCCAGAAATCCAATCCAATCCAACGCGAGTTATAGTAACGGTCGGTCGGTCGGTACTCGGTCAGATTCGGTATACTCGGTCCGTGCGTCGGCCTCGCGCGTCATTTCTCGGCGAAAGTTCGCATTTGTGCTGTGTGCAATGCTTGCAACTTTACTTTGACAGTACTTTGACAGGATGCCAGGCGGAAATTGCAAGTTTCAGTCTGCGTGGCTGGAGCACAGCGAATATCGTCACTGGGTGAGGCCGGAGACAAGCGACCCTTATCGAGCGAAGTGCGCAGTATGTCAGAAGTCGGTCGACATTGCAACAATGGGGGAGTCGGCGTTGAAGAGCCATCAGAAAAGTGCCAAGCACCGATCCAAAGTTGCGGCAGGCGAGGGCTGCTCTTCCGTCACGAGTTTTTTGCAAGCGGCAAACGTCACAGAAACGACTTCTCAGCGGGAAAACACGGAAACATCCTCTCGAGGTGCGACCCTTGACGAAGACTGCAGAAGGCATGACTCCGTGATTGAAGCCGAAATTTTGTGGACGATGAAAGTTGTGTCTTCACACTACTCATACAGCTCCAGCGGATCAGCTTCCGAGTTGTTCCGAAAGATGTTTCCGGATAGCGATATCGCGAGAAGCTTCACTTGTTCGGAAAAAAATGTGCGTACGTCGCGTGCCATGTTCTGCGCCCATTTTTTGCTTCTCAAGTCTTGGACATGATGGAGAAATCTGAACATTTTGTTGTCCTTTTTGATGAAACGTTAAACGAATACCTGCAAAAGAAACATCTTGATGTTCACGTGAGACTGTGGAACAATTCTGAGGTGACAACAGGGTATGTGACATCGGCATTCATGTTCCACAGCACAGCGGACGACCTCATGAAGAATTTGACGAAAGCGCTGGCGTCCTTTCCGATGAGCAAAATTGTTCAGCTTTCCATGGATGGCCCCAATGTCAACTGGAGCCTTTTCCACAAGTTCCAGCAGCACATGAAAAATGGCTTTCAAGTTCAGTGTTTGGATATTGGATCGTGTGGCCTTCACAGAGTGCATAATGCCTACAAAGCTGGAATGCATGCAACGGGATGGCCAGTTGACACATATTTGTCCAGCTTATTCTCACTCTTTCATGATGCACCGGCCAGGCGAGAAGATTTTATTCGAGAGACAGGGAGCAGTGTGTTTCCACTTCCTTTTGTATCTCACCGTTGGATCGAGAACGTGCCCGTACTGGAAAGAGCCCTGGCCACATGGGAGCGCTTGAAGCAATACAGTGAAGCAGTGAGTGGCCGCAGGCTGCCCGTGCCAAAATGCAGAGCATATGAAAACGTCAGTGGTTTTCTAAACAACCAGCTCGCACTTGCAAAATTGAACTTTTCCCTGAATGTTGCCATGGTTGTGCAGACTTTCCTGACTGTTTTTCAGAGTGATTCTCCCAAGACGTATTTGCTGGCAAAAGAACTTGAAAGTGTTCTGAGGAGCCTTCTGTCAAGGTTCGTAAAGTGCTCTGTAATGACAGAAGCCACCAGCATCACGAAGCTGCTGCGAATTGATGTTGAAGATGCTGCCGTTTACACAGAAATTGAAAAGGTGGATGTTGGACGTGCAGCTGAGAAGATTTTGAAATGCTGCAAAGCGAGCGCCAAGTGTATTCTTGAGTTTTGGTACGAGTGCCGGAAGTTCCTTGTGAACATGATCCTGAAAGTCATGGAGAGAAGTCCCCTGAGGTACCCTGTCGTTCGTGGGTTGTCATGTTTCGACCCCACAGAGATGTCCAAGACAGACACGTGCCTTGGGAAGCTAAAAATTGTGCTTAACTGCCTAATCGACAACAAGCTTCTCTCTGAGCACAAACGTGACATTGTGTGCACACAGTACATTCAGTTTTGTCTAGAAAAACGGCATGAACTACAAAACTATGAAAAAGATCATGAGCGTCTTGACAGTTTTTTCGTGCGGCTGCTGAAGCACGATGCTTCATTCTCGCAGTTATGGGCTGTGGTGAAACTACTTCTCCTGAGCCATGGGCAGGCCTCAGTGGAAAGAGGCTTCAGCATCAACAAGCAGGTTGCGGTCGAGAATTTGGCAGAGCTGTCGTATATTTCTCAACGAGTTATCTGCGAGGATGTGAAAAGCCATGGTGGCCTGCTGAACGTTCCGATTTCAAAAGAGTTGAAGGCGTCAGTGCGCCAAGCCCGGCATAGGTACGCTGCGTACCTAGACGAACAAAAGAAACAAGCACTGTCACGGCAGGCGGCTTCAAAGAGAAAAGAGCTCGAGCAAGAGCTTGATAAGATGCACGGAAGGAAGTCAAAGCTTCAAAAAACTCTCAAGTGCCTGC